GGAGTTGGAGGTTGCTGTGAGCTGTAATGCTACGGCACTCTGCCCAGGGGGACAGCTTGAGGCTCTGTCTCAAAAAAAAAAAAAAAAAAAAAATGTAGATTTCTGTTCCATAGTTTATGGATGGGATGTACTGGACTGCTGTAGTTGGTGATGATTTATAAGTTATTGGTTTAATCACCAAAAGAATGTCAAGGGTTGTTTTTTTGTTGTTGTTGAAGTTTGGCCGGGGCTGGGTTCGAACTCACCACCCTCAGTATATGGGGCTGGCGCCCTACTCACTGAGCAGAGACGCCGCTCAAGGGTTGATTTATGTGAAGATTCTATCAGTGTGTTAACAAAGGATTTCATGTACTTTTTCTTTAACACTCAGATCCCTGGTTAATCAGAAAAGACCACAAGAAGAACAAAGATAAAAAAAAGAAGAAAAGTATAGATCCAGATTCTATTCAAAGTGCCTTATTAGCATCAGGTCTTGGATCAAAACGACCTAGCTTTTCATCTACACCAGTTATCTCACCTGCTCCTAATAGTGCACCAGGTATTCATGTAGAAACTTGCATTGTCTGTAAAATGTACTTAAAATAGATACTTTAACTATGTACTGACATTCAATAAATGTTCTTTGCTTAGCTAACAGTAACACCAGTAGTAACAATAGCCTTATAACAAGTCAGGATGCTGTGGAAAGGGCCCAGCAGATGAAGAAAGACCTGCTTGATAAGCTAGAAAAATTAGCCGAAGACCTCCCTCCTAATACTTTGGATGAACTTATCGATGAACTTGGTGGCCCTGAGAATGTTGCTGAGGTAAATATGCCTTGATTGTGTCTTTGTCACTTCTTAGTAACATTTTTGCCACTTTTCAATCCCCGTAAATGAATGTGGTATTTTGGATATCATACATAATTTGTCTGAATTTTTTCCTTATACCTTTTTTTTTGGAGACAGAGTCTCTCACTGTGTCACCCTTGGTAGAGTGCCATGGTGTCATAGCTCCAGCTCATAGCAATCTTAAACTGTTGGGTTTAAGTGAGTCTCTTTCCTCAGCCTCCAAAGTAGCTGGACTACAGGCATCCTCCACAACGCCTAGCTATTTTTCTTTTGTTGTAGTAGTAGTTGTTTGGCAGGTGGGTCTGAGTTCAAACCTCCCAGCCCCGGTGTATGTGGCTGGTGCTCTTGCTGCTGAGCTACAGGCGCCAAACCTTTTTTCTTATATCTTAGAACCGTGTTTTACTTGATTTGTACTAGTACCAGTGATATTTTACCCCTGGTATTAGAATGTCTGTTTAGAGCCACTAGTCTTGGTTATTGCACTTATTATGCAGCTTTTGTGATTGAGGTTGATCTTTCACAGACTGTGGTCCAGTGTTCTGTATCCCCCAATGCCTTGTCCAGTACTGAGCTCTAAGCACCATAGTTACAGCACCACAGCTTCATAGCCTTATGATACTGTTTGGCTTCTCAGATGACTGGCCGTAAGGGACGTGTTGTTAGCAATGATGATGGAAGCATATCTTATGAGTCAAGATCTGAACTTGATGTGCCTGTGGAAATCCTAAACATCACAGAAAAACAAAGATTTATGGATGGAGATAAGGTATGTTTTTCTGGGATGGTTTTTAGTGAAAGAATCAAGGCTTATACATTTAGATTAAGGTTTAGAAAGCTTTTTTCACTTTTTTTTATGTTTTTGGAGACAGAGTCTCACTTTGTTGCCTTGGGGTTGAGTGCTATGGCATCATCATAGCTGACAGCAACCTTAAACTCTTTGACTCAAGGAATCCTCTTGCCTCAGCCTCCTATCTAGCTGAGACTATTAGAGCCTGCCACAATGCCTGGCTAATTTTTCTTTTTCTTTTTTTTTGAGGGGGGGGAAGTTTACTGAGCTTTTTTTTTTTTTTTAATTAAATGTTAGCTGTGTACATTAATGCAATCATGGGGTACAGTAATTTTTCTATTTTTAGGAAAGATGGGGTCTTGTTCTTGCTTAAGCTGGTCTCAAACTCTGAGCTCAAGCAGTCTGCCCATCTCAGCCTCTGATTACACATGTGAGCCACTGTACCCAGCTCGTTTTTTCACATACAGGAGCTTGCTCTGTCATCCAGGCTCTGTGGAATACAGTGATGTGATCATAGCTTACTATAACCTTGAACTGTAACCTTTTTGCTCAAGAGATCCTCCTGTTTCAGCCTCCTGAGTAGCTGGTAGTATATAGGTGTGCACCAAGACACCCAGTTATAAACTTTTTAAAAAAAAATTTTGCAGGGCAGTGCCTATGGCTCAAAGGAGTAGGTTGCCGACCCCATATGCTGGAGGTTCAAACCCAGCCCTGGCCAAAAACTACAAAAAAAACTTTTTTTTACAGAGACAGGGTGTCTGTTACCCCAGCTGGTGTCTAACTCTTGGGCTCAAGCAATCTTCCCACCTCAGCCTCCTCCTACCTTTTTCTTTTAATGTAAATCATGTATGTTGAATGTTGTTTCTTTGTTTCTTTTTCTTTGTTTTTGAAAACAGACACTAAAACTGGAATAATGGCACATAGGACTGTTTTATGTCTTTTCATTATTTTATTGTAAGTTGAATGTAGTTGAATATAATGCATCTTCTATGTTACACATTGAATTAGCCATGGCTCTTGATAGCTTTTGGAGGCTTCTGAAATCCTTTGTTTTTTTTGAGATAGAATCTCAATCTGTCACCCTGGGTAGAGTGCTATAGCATCATAGCTGACAGCAACCTCCAGCTCGGGCTCAAGCGATCCTCTTGCCTCGGCTTTTCTATTTTTTTTTTTTTTTTTAAGAGACAGTGTCTCATTGTATCACCTTTGGTAGAGTGCTATGATATCATAGTTCACAGCAACCTCCAGCTCCTGGGCTTAGGCAATTCTCTTGCCTCAGCCTCTTGAGTAACTAGGACTATAACGCCTGGCTATTTTTTTGAGGGGGGGGCCACCTTTTGGCCAGGGCTGGGTTTGATCCCACCACCTCCAGTATATGGGCCAGTGCCCTACTCACTGAGCCACAGGCCCTGCCCTACCCCTGGCTATTTTTTTGTTGTAGTTTGGCCAGGGCCAGCCTCAAACCCACCACCCTCAGTATATGGGCCCGGCACCCTACTCACAGAGCCCCAGGCGCTGCCCAGTTTTTCTGTTTTTAGTGGAGATGGGGGTCTTGCTTTTGCTCAGTCTGATCTCAAACTCATGAGCTCAATCTAACCACCTTGGCCTCCAGAGTACTAGGATTACAGGAATGAGCTACCACTCCTGGCCTGAAATCTTTAATAAGAATATAAAAATAGTCTGTGATCATCTTAGTGTTTTTACATCTTAAGTCACTCTAGGGTCATTTTAATTTTGAGACTAGAATGATATTTAAGAGCATCTGGATTACTAGTATACTCAGGATTTGCTGTTCCTTTTGTTGCTATATTATATTAAGATGATTTATTGTAAGTGACTTGGAGGTAGAACCATGTCTGACCACTATAGTGAGTTTGGTTGCCTCCAGATGCTGTTTTTATAGACTTTAAATGTTAAATGGACTTTATCAAAACCTATGTTTCTCAGACCTATTTTTTTCCCATCTAGTTGGAATAACTATAAGCATTTGTTGGTAAGATTGATAAAAACATATGTACACTTAGCAACTTTTCAGAATAGCACCTCTTGAAATCCATTCCTTAATATAAAAGGAAGAATAACATTTTACCTTTTAACCCTCTTTAAAAAATATTTCAATGAATTTATCTGTCTTTGTAACTGGAAAAAGATGATAGTTACCATTATCAAATTTATCTTTTAAAAATATGTATGCAGTGACACATGCTTGTAGTCCCAACTGTTTAGGAGGCTGAGGTAGGAGGATCACCTGAGCCTAGTTCAAGGCCACACTGGCAGTATGAAGAGCCTCTGGGAGACAACCAAAATCTCTACAGTGGTCAGATATGGTGAGATATATTTTAAAGATTGCAGGTAGGTTTTTGTGGATTTTGTTTATGAGACAGAGTCTCACTCTTTTACCTAGGCTAGAATGTGATGATGTTAGCCTAGCTCACTACAATGTCAAACTCCTGGGCTCAAGTTATCTTTCTCCCTTAGACTTCTAAGTAGCTGGAACTACAGGGACCTGCCACAGCATCCGGATAATTTTTCTATTTTTAGTAGGGGTGGTGTCTCACTCTTGTTCAGGTTGATGTCAGACACCGGAGCTCAAGTGATCTTACTGCTTTAGCCTCCTAGAGTGTCAGGATTACAGCCACGAGCTACTGTGCCCAGCCTGGTTTTAGCTTTTAATCAATAGAAAGCCCAAAATTATATCAGCTCAAATGTGATAGGTGTTTTTCTCATGTACACACACTTGAGGGGTAGGTAGAGCCAGGGGTGTTATGGCCCCTTGAAGACCAGCCCTTTTCTGTGTTGAGTAACTTATGTGTGCCTACACTTTTCACGTTACTTCTGTTTGAACAGAGCTCTTCCAGATCCAGTTATTACCTCTATATTTTAGCTAGCAAAGAGGAGAAAAATGGAGGAAAAGGATACATCTACTACTTTTATTTCCTAGATAGTATACGTAACAGCCATACCCTTCTGGCTGGAGCATGCCCACCCTTAGGTTTAAGGGAGACTGGGAAATAAAATCTGGGCAGCCCTTTATCTAGCTAAACATTTTTTTTTGAGACAGCCTCAAGCTGTCCCCCTGGGTAGAGTGCCGTGGCATTACAGCTCACAGCAACCTCCAACTCCTGGGCTCAAGCGAGTCT